ATATCACTTTCTAGTCCCCATCAAATATGTTCCCGTTCCACCCCTAAATCATATCTGTAAAAAACCGCCTTAATGCTGGTGGGCCTTGCGTTGTCAGTGTCATGACAGTTTCTTTCCAAAGCTTGTTGTCAGCCCCTATCAGCTGCTATCCCAACGTCAATACCAAAATGTGGTATGTAGTAGATTAGTTCTCATGTGGCCACCGTCAAGCTTCTCAAAAAGCGGAATAGATTCTAAACCGTACCGGTGCAGGTGTGGGTTGCCTGCCAGTCGAGCCGCCTTCATCCTGCAAACAGTATACAGCACTATGTATATGTGAAAAACCGCAGCACCTTCTCCCCTTATGTTAGATGACGCATTCACAAACTTCTATTCACAGGCGGTTTCAAAAACACTCACTGCCTCTGTCCTTTCGACTGAACGTTTTGTCACAATTTCTGTGATTTTCTTAGTTGAAGTTCTCGCTTCTGTCACATCAGGAGGTACTTCTTCTTTCGGACACTGAAACGGAAAGTAGCACAAGGAACTGCAATAATTCGGGATGTGAATACTGGGTAACTCTCTTTCTACTGGATCAAATCACTCCAAATTTCAATATGTCTTGGAGGCAATCCTTCACTGAACCAGCATACTTGTGTTGAATGGGGCTGAGGCAGCATGTAACTTCTCAGTTCTGGAGATTCATCTACTTAATCGCCCTAGAATGAGTAGGGCGAGCCCTACTCGTTCTGGAGCGATCGATACTTCGATTGCCAACAATTGAATGCGCACAACATGCGTGCCACAGTCGATGTTTCCTCAATGTTTCTCATGACCCGTGCGAATAATAATAAAGGAATTTCGTAAAATTGATGAATGTATGATTCGATTTTTACTGTGAACGTTCTCACGATTGTAGCTTATCCATTCTGAGCATCTCGAAAACGCTCTTGCAAACTTGTCGCACCCTGTAGTTTGCTGCTGGTTTCTCGGCGGGAGCAGAAGATCCGTCAATGGCTGGATCCCACAGGCAGATTGGGATTCACGATTCTATCCCTTTCTGCGAGGCATTCTAAGGCAATTTCTGATAAAATCAGAAGTGCGTCGAGCACAGACCACAAAAATGATTAGCTTGATGCAGTGTATTCTATCAGCTGACACTAATTTAGAGCATTCATTTACCAAGTTATCAGCTATCACTACGGATCACTATTTACTATGATGATTACAGGCTCGTCGTCACTTGTGGTGTATGGTCTGCACTCGGCGCGCTTCTGGTTTTCTGAAGCAGTGGGAGCGTGTTCCCCTAATATGGTGTTCACCATTAGTTCATGAAACATAACCGTGCCATGATGTTAGAAATCCATTTTCATTCTAGTCGAATGACAATTGGGCATGGGCCCTTTTATGGCTTCTGACCATTGCTGCTGAAGCGCTCTCACATCATCATCACATTTAGCAGTGGCATGGCTTTGAAAATTAATCGAATTAGGACAAAAGCGGATAGGAATAATGGGCAACCGGTAGTCAAACTAATAAACAATGACCCACTGTCTGAGATTTCTGCTTTTCTTCATCTGTTTGACACTTCTCCTTGGTGGTTTTTCGTATTGTCTCAGTTGTTGTCACACCTTCTTCCGTGCCAGGAATTTCCGCCTCCTACGCGAAATTTTATTGAAGCTTTGTTAGTGAACTTTTCTGGCGAAAACAAAGTGAGACTAAAATGTGATATACCTTTTTAAATTTTGATTACATGAATCAAATTCAAGAAGTGATTCTGCGGAATAGTCCTACATCAAGAGAATGACAGCACATTAATTAATTGCTGACATGATGACCTACTCCTCCAACTTTTGTGGAAGCACTTCAGGTGCAAAGAGAAGCCCGACGATGTTTAAGGTGGACACGTTAATTTTTTTTAATTCTGCTTTCGTCCCTATCAATGGACATCCCCAAGGTCGTAACTAAATTATCATATTCAAGAAAGGAAAAATCAGCTGCACGAGTTACCTCGCTCGGTTCTTTAAGGGCGCGCTCCTCGTTAACAGACGTTCGGTTGTCGCGTCGCTGCGTGCGACCACTTGTGCGGCGTCGCAACGCGGCGATTTTCCAATGGATGGGGAAGTTTTGAATAAGACGGTTGGACCAGTGGGTTTCTGGCAGTTAATAATCTGAGTGAGGGGAGAGGGTGGGCGTATGTTAGGTTACACCTCGCTATGGCTCATTCATTGAAAATGGCGTGGACAGGTTTCATTATCGCATTATTGAAAAACGCGGAAGGAGAAAAGGTTCGAGTGAATTCAAACGATACGCGCTTTGATGAACTGAATGAGGAACGGCCTACTCGGGATACGGGGCAGTGGTTCTCACTGTGTGGGAGTCCAGAAAGGAAAGCAAGTTTCTGGGACTAAAGCTTTGAAAGAAGGAAAGAAAGCAGAAACGCTATAATAGCGTGCATGTGCGAGAGTACCAAAGAACACTACAAAACGTTGAATTACCAAGCCTTCCGATAACCACTGCCCTTGAACGGGCCTGCTCGGCGTCCCTTTACCATTCAAATTCGAACAAGGCATGCAGAAGCTCTTCCGCTGCAGGTGCGACGTCGCGGTCACGTCCAGAAGGGCGTCCGGACTATTCTTCTGAGATACACCCGTCAATGTAATTCTACAGTCAACAAGTGGGGAAGGTAGGCCGAAAATACCATTTGACGCTCTCTCGAACGTCGGTTTCAAATCTTTCTATTTGCCGAGCGAAGGTGCGGATGAAATAGCAAGGGTTTTCTTAGAAGTGGAATGGAGAACGGATAAAGAGGCGGATTTGCAAGGCCAAGTCCAGGGGATGCGGGTCCGTGTGTACAATTTTCTTTATTTTTTTTCACAAAATTTCAACGTGAATGTTCCATCACTGCTCGACAACAGCTTGCTTCTTGATGAGTTTCTCGATGAACGTTCTGATTTTGACATTCCGACAAACCAGCGTACGCTAGGAACGAAAGAGGCGCACTGCATTAACATGCATGTGCAGAGATCCTCCTTCGTTGACCACTGGATTACTACACCACTCCATAGAAACTCCGCTAGCAAG